TTTCCATTGCAACATAAACCATATGTTCTTCATCATAATATATGCTTGCTACCACCATCATAACCATGTATTATCCCCTTAACCATCCAATAACATAATATTCAAGGAAACACAATAAACTTCAACCATGAGCATCATCATAATACAACCAGACATATCAGCACACATATCATTTAATCAAAGGACAAATATACACAAATTAATTTCAGCAAAATTTCACCATTTTCCCACTGACTCACGTACAAACAAACTCTATAAAGTAAACTATTGAATCATTGCAATGGATCTATCATTTTCCTACCGTTACACTACTGAAGTTGAAACCAAACCCTAAAACCATAATCCTAACTTCTAAGCATCAACAGAAGATCAAAAGAGAGAGCAGGAGAACATACCATCTTCGCCGCTGTCGGAGTTTACGCTGGACATTGCTCCTTGTTATAGTTGTGCTTGATTTGTTGGTTTAGTTCGCATGAATGTGGCGTTATGTTAATAGTTTTCTGTTTAGGGGTAGTGGTCACTGGAGAAACCTGATGATATGTTAGGTTTTTTTAGAGAGAAAACGGTTGTTATGAACTAGGCGACGTTTATATATTAAAAAATATCACTTTTCATCACGGTTGACAAGACGGACCATAATGTTATATTATTTTCATAATGAAATTTCATAAAGACAAGATATATCACAACGATTGTACAAAATAACCGTAGAGATATCCCTTTTATTTTTTAGTTTAAAATAAATAAAAAAAGAAAAGGCGCCTTAACATTAAAGGAATAAAAATTTTGAGGGCGCTAAAGTTTGAACCCATGTTAGCTTGATTGTATCACCACGGTATAGGCACTAACCGTTATTATATCGTAACAATTTTTAATTAAAAAATAAAAAAATATTAGCCCTTGAGTTTAGAGATGTCACCACGGTGTTTGGAAGAACTGTGGTGACTTGGGCGTTGTTGTATGCGCGTTTTGTAGTAGTGCTTGTTATGCCGAACATGTATAGAGGACATTATAGAGACATAAAATATAGTTAAGTTTATTATGTCTAATGTCAGTTGTTTATTTCACTAACCCCCTCTTTGAACATATAACCTATTAAATTGATTTTGAAAATAATAATATGAAAAATTAGATTGTATTTGAAAAACATCTTACACCCCATTTAAAATTTCCAAAAAGGATACAACTGATGATCGAATCCATGACCATTACACCATTTGCGTCAGTGGATTTCCAACTAAGAGGTAATGTGGCACACTTTTTATGACGCCCTTCGTTACCTCACATATGAAACTGAGGTAACACCTCATATTCAACATGGTTTAAATGTGTTTTCTATAGTAGTGACATCATGATGGCCTCCATAGCCAAGAACGAGTGGAAAACACCTTGGATATCCTCTAAGTACTGATTCAGCTAAACTTTAAGGTTATCGACCTGTTCATCGAACTTCTCTTTCTCTCATGTTAGGGATAGTCAGGTAAGAAGGCCCCCTAGTCAACAACCCCGAATTCCAAAATGGCCAACTCTTAACGAGTATGGTGGACCAATTCAGCCAATTCCCTTTGTGGAGCTTTCTTAGACAAACTCGAGAAGTAAGAATAATCTTCATCAGAAACATAAGATCAAAACTCCTTATCTGTCCTTTGGTAAGAACGAGCTAGCAACACGAAATTTGATTCTACATGAGTAGAAGCACGCCCTCCCATAAATCTAAGCTGATGATGCTTACGAAGAGGTATGTCAACATGACTTTCTCTTTAATTCTGAGGTGGGAGCAACCCGTTCCCCGCCTTTAGTCCGTGGAGATGGTAAAACTTCATCTACCATGATCCGATCAGGGGAAACTTAGGCTTCCATTTGAGTAGGAGGAAGGGTAATTTGAATAACCCGCCCGACTACCAAACCATAAGGCGTCCCAATAAGCTTATTTGAAATAAAAGCTTCTCCAACAGAAAGCGTCCCAAAAGACATACTATGAATAAATTATAAAATTATGAAAAAATAACCATTATAAATATGATTTTTTAAACATTTAAACATATTTAGCTTTAAAAACAACATAAATAATAATTCACATGCTTTATAAATCCAATTCATGATACTCAAAACCTCGGTTCTTTTACTCCTTTTAGCAACGACTTACAAGAAACGTCACTCTAAAAATATTTAATTAAAATCGTATGGTACATAGTAAATTGTAATTTATGACCGTATAAAATGATTTAATGTGTCAAAAACCTGCATTAATCCCATTTCCAAACAAGCTTGAAGATTCGTGAAAGGCCCATAGGAAAAAGCGTTAGGCTTAGGTTGAACTTTGATGTGTTCCGCAAGTACATCCAAAATTATAGTAAAAAAGAGTTGAACTTTGATGTAAATATATTTTAATGGGAAAATCGTTTATCTCTCCACCCTGTATTTGCACACTGGTCGGTACCCCTTCCTACATATATTGGATAACTCAAATATATGCAATTCTAACCCATTTCTTCTCTAGACCTTTCCACAAAATCTCTCAAGGCACACTATCGAACGACTTCTCCTAGTCAATAAAAATTAAGTGCATGTCTTATTAGTCAATCTAATACTTCTCCATCACTCATCGTAGTAGATAGATTGCTTCCATGATTAACCTTTCAAGCATAACCAAATTGATTTTCAGTGACTTGAATCTTTTTTTGTAGTCTCCGTTCAATTACTATTTCTCATAACTTCATAGTATGACCTCATGGTATTATTTTTTATATTTAGAATTGATTGAAGTATTAACATACAATCATATTTTTAACATATGGAACTATGATAATTTATCTTATGCATATGGGTGAATTATGTGTGTAATTAATGGGTAAATCTGGATTTTAATATCCAGACAAACCCTCAAGACTTAATTGTATGAGTATTATATGTATATGTGATACCATATGGTGAATTCATATTTCAATATTCAGAATCCCCTACAAGATAACAATGGATAAATTTGATTTTTAATATCCAAACAAACCCCGAGATAATATTATAATCACTTGGACAATATTATACATAAATTATTATCCATACATTAGTCACACAACTATTCATTATTCACACAATAAACCATACATAAGTCATTCGTTCATAATGTTTATATCAAACCATAAATTATCCTTACATCAGTTATAAACCATACATAATTTATGACTCAGTAATTCAAAATGTTTATATAAAAAATACAAATTAAAATACAACTATTAGGTATATCAAATGCCCATATTTCTCCTATGCCTTATATACTATACTACGAATCATGTCTTTGATAACATCACATCTAAAGTGACTATCTCAAGAGCGCCTTTCTGAAATATATATATATATATATATATATATATATATATATATATATATATATATATATATATATATATATATATATATATATATATATATATATATATATATATATATATATATATATATATATATATATATATATATATATATATATATGATATCTCTTTCAATAACAACAATAATACGACATATAGGTAATACATTTATGACATGATATGTCCTTGCATGTTCCTCTTCTAGTAAATCATGATGGGCTAGCCTAAGAGGATCTCCTTTTCAAACTAGTGTCATATATAAGGATAAGACACTCTAAAAATCATTGGATGTATTTGTATACCGTCATACTCCATAGATGAGGAGGTAACCCATTACATACATCCTTTAACACCAGATACTCAAACTCCGATAATACTCATTCTAGTAGATGTGGATACATATCTCGAGGCCCATAAATCAATCATTCATAGCACCAACATATCGCCGTGTTTGACAATTCTCTTAGTACGTGAGAAAAATATCATCCACCAGAACGCGTTTGAGAACATGTTTATACAACTCAGTTGCCAGATTCTACCTAAGTGGGTTAGTCGAGCACGCACGTGACAATTCTTTAGTGTAGTTAGAAACATATTCCCAGCCGATAATACATGGGAAATGCTGGAGGATCCATATTTTTAAAATGGTGCACTTGAAATATCAATAAGGGTGTACAACAAGTTGTATGAAAATAATAAATGACATATAAATCAATTACCTGAAATATATAGTTGCATCCAATCATATGTCTCTTCTCCCATTTATTACTTTAAGTTAACTTGGAGTACAAGTAAACCAAACAAATTGTCCTCCAATTATACTTATGAATCCGCTCCAAATCCATAAAATATTTAATATAGACAACATCGATATAGATTACACTTTTGTCCAAAAATATATACGTGCCTACAAAAATCAGAAAATATTACATCATCAATTGCATCATTTACAACATTCAAGTGGTTAATCTTCTATAAAAATCTGACATTGACATCTTCCAATAATTTTTTATCTTCTTTTAAACCTCGCCGCAGGAACTTCTTATAATAATTTATAAACAATAAGTGATTTGAATTAACTTATAAAAAATTATAAATTAATAAAATATAAATTGTACTCATGTTTTCAATTCACATGTTTTATAGATCGAGATCATTTATACTCTAAATTCCTATTCTTTTACCCGTTTTTTGCAACGACTTAGAAGAAACGCCACTCTAAAAAGATTTAATTAAATTATAAATATATGACACTATAAAATGAATAAGTTAATCCCATTTCCAAACAAGCTCGAAGATTCGCGAAGGCCCACAGAAAGCATCGTGTCGATTCCCCGCCATTGCCCTCCATTCACACCCACCACTTATTACATAAAGGGCATTATCGGCTTTTCATCCAACACGTAACTAACTTTTGTACACAAGCGCGTTCAACTCAAACACCTTCGCTTTAAGTACGTGGCCAACGCAATTTCACACCAAACAGAACCCTAATTTTTCTTACTACTACTCTTCATCATTTCAAACAAAACCCAAAATTTCCCCCAAATTTCCGAATCAATTTCCGAGTTTCAAACCCTAGCTGATTTTTATTGTGTTTTCCGAAAAGTGATTGCAAAACGGCGTTTGAAGATGGTTGCGGAAGCTGAAATTATATGTCAACCGAGTGTTTCGATGTTGGATGTAAAGTATCGCCTTTGCGTTGCGCAAGAACATAGCGTCAAGGTTGAGGTTTCACCGAAATCTCCTTCTCCTTCTCTCCCAATCTTTGGCCATGTAAGGGTTTGATCTTATTCTATTATCTTTTTTTATTCATTTCCCTATTTTTCAATTGAAATTCATACTATTGTTTTGTTTGGTTAAAGAATTGGTTTTTTGGCTACCCTTGTAGGTTATTAATTGAAGCTTAGTATAATTTTTTGGGTGATTAATTATCTGTCAATTTATCTGGATTAAGCTGTAGATTTGTCCCTTTTCGATTCTGGATTACGCTTTATGATTTTTGTTTGTTTGATGATTATGGGTATCTGTAATACTCATTTGATGCTTGCAGGGATTGTTGAACCTTAATTTTGATACTAGAATTTGGAATTGGGTTTTTAGTTTAACATGTTTTTATTCATTTATTGCCTTTAATCTATCTCAGTTGAAATATCTTGCTGCAATTTTAGCTGATTAATTACCTTCAACTCTAGTGAATTCATTATTCTAACCTTTTTGTTAGTGGGTTGTTTGAATGTTGTGCTGACTTTTTTTTTTTGGTTATGTGTATTAGGCTGTGAGTTGCTCTGAGATCATGAAAGATTCGATATTGGAGACCCCTGCGAAGATGTTTATCCCAAATGTGCGTTCTGGTAGCTATGCTGATATTGGACCACGGGGATCGATGGATGATGAACATATTCAGATAGATGATCTAGCTTGCCACCTTGGGTTTGTGTTCAAGTACCCGATACCGAGTGCGTTTTATGCGGTTTTTGATGGGCATGGAGGGCCTGAGGCTGCTGCGTTTGTTAAGAGGAATGCTATGAGATTGTTTTTTGAAGATGCTGATATGCTACAATCGTATGATACTGATGCCTTTTTTCTAGAGAAGTTGGAGGTTTCTCACCGGAGAGCTTTTGTACGGGCTGATCGTGCCTTGGCTGATGAACAGAGTGTTAGTAGTTCATGTGGGACTACAGCACTGACTGCCCTTGTGCTTGGAAGGCATTTGCTTGTTGCGAATGCTGGTGACTGTCGAGCAGTACTTTGCAAGAGAGGTGCAGCTGTTGAGATGTCTCAAGATCACAGACCGAGTTATTTACCAGAAAGAAGGAGAGTGGAGGAGTTAGGCGGATTCATTGATGACGGATATCTCAATGGTTATCTCTCGGTAACTCGTGCCCTTGGGGATTGGGACTTGAAATTTCCACTTGGTGCTGCATCTCCTCTAATTGCTGAACCTGATGTTCAACTGGTTACATTGACAGAAGAGGACGAGTTCTTGATCATTGCGTGTGATGGGATATGGGATGTAATATCTAGCCAAGTTGCAGTTAGTCTTGTTCGTCGTGGACTAAGAAGGCACAACGACCCACAGCAAAGTGCCAGAGATCTAGTCAAGGAAGCATTGCGCCTAAATACATCAGATAATCTCACTGTGGTTGTTATATGTCTGTCACCTGTTGAAAGCTTTGCTGAATCATGTCCGCCACAGAGACGAAGATTCAAAGCTTGCAGTATTTCTGAAGAGTCTCGTAATAGATTGAAGAGCTTAATAGAGGGAAATTGACTGTAAATGCAATTATTGTGATTCACCAAATGTTTCTTTGATTAAAAGATTAATATGTTTTTAAGCTGTTTTAGAGATATTGTAAAAGCAGTCACAACATTTTTGTAGGGATAGAAAGGTGTACTTGGTGAGGGGTAGAGGAGGTTTAGTGTTAGACCTATTTAATTGGAGGTGTTTATGCTGCTATCCATAGAGGCAGTTGTAGCTAAATTTTGGCGGAGTAGATTAAACCCCTCATCACTGTGGTTGTTGATTATGTAAATATAAATGGTTTAGACTTGTTGTCATGAATTCTCTTGGTGTGCATGCCACCATGATTTAATACTCGTATCATTTTTTATCCGTTATCTGTTTCATTGGCCTTTGTATGAGGCATCATATGGTTGAGCTTGGTTTTTTTGTTGTTTTTTCTTGGTTCTCTCAAGGCTTCATAGAAATGCTTGGTCCATCTTATCTCTATAGGCCTATGACTTGGAAAGATATCATCCTTTGAAATCATAAAAATCTAATCTGTTATCATGTAAATTAATGTTTGAAAATACAAAATTCTTTTAATATAAACCAAATATCCGGATGAATTTGAATTCAGAACCATGCGACTTAAATTCTGTCCTTAAAAACAATATCTTGTTTAAAAAATCAAACATAATGCAATAGCCATCTATTAACAATAATATCATGCAGTACAAATTATTTGTTTCAAAATAAACTCCAGTGTGTGGTACTGGGTGAGATAGATTAAATTTTTCAATCATGAATCTCCAACCCCAATTTATCAAATATTTGAACTATAGACTGGCAAAAGAGCTGTGAATATGTTTGATATTTCTATTAAATTAGTTTTTGGTCCAAAAAACACAGCCACATGCAAGTAGAGAGAATACAATAAAATTTTAAAAAAAACATTATCATAACAAAAACATGAACGGTCCAAGTTCAAAAAGTAAAGGTTGAATTTGTGAGGAGGAATAGAAAAAACCAAAAAAAATTAAAATACTAGTAATGGAAGCCACAGAGACATCATCCAACGGCTTATAATTAAACACTAAATAATTATCATTATATATATCTAGTTATGTTTTTATATTTATAAATATTAGAGAAAAGTAGCTTCAGTTTCGGTTTTGTGTGTTAGGTCAGAGAAAAAGAAAGAGTTAGCGTTAAGTGATCGAATCGAAAAAATGTCTATGGCGAACTTGGCTCGTCGAAAGGGTTACTCTCTTCTCTCATCGGAGACTCTCCGCTACTCTTTTTCTCTAAGGTCAAGAGGTTTCGCCTCCGGATCTGATGAAAACGACGTCGTCATCATCGGTGGTGGTCCCGGCGGTTACGTCGCCGCCATTAAAGCCGCGCAGCTTGGTTTCAAAACTACTTGCATCGAGAAGCGTGGCGCCCTCGGTGGTACTTGTCTCAACGTTGGATGCATCCCTTCCAAGGTCCATCCATTATTCTTCTCTTATTCGTTCTGTTTTCCGATTCAATTTCTCCTAGTTCGTTTTAATTCTAGATTATATCTGGTTATTAGCTCTGGATTATGCATGAGTATATATATACTTTTACTTTTTTTTTGTGAATTGCTTGTCTGACACCTACAGTGTCCGTGCTAGGAGGGAAATTTCTTTTTGTTATTTTTTATTTTTGGAGGTGGATAGAACCTGATGAGGTGTTCTTAGGAGGTGGGTAGAACTTGATTAAACAGGAATATAGTTTTTTTTCTTTTTAATTTTTTTTGTGCCTTTTGGTATTTTTATTAGCATTGTTCTATGTTAGGAATTGAGTGCAAAGCAAGTATATGTTGTTCTTTATTTCGTTCTAAGTACTTGTGTGAGGGTGTTGATTTCATTTCCAACATCAAAATTGAAGTCTAAACCGGATTATTGGTTGGACAGGAGAATTATGTCTGGCTTGCCTCTGCAACTGCATGCTAATTTTTGTACACTAGGTCGTCTTAATTTTTCATTTAGTCACTTGGTATCATGAAGACTCTTTTTTATCTTTTACTCTGGTTAAAAACTTGTATTAACTTCTGTGAATTCCTTAGCGTCATGTATTTTTTAATTCATGTGCTCTCGTCTGTTAAACTAATGGTAAAAGGTTTTTGTTAATGTGGTTGTTGTGTCCCTATCTCTCATATATAGTTTGAAGAGACTTCTTGATATATCATGTATATTGTCTCTAGCCCATTTACTCATATGGGGTACGTTCATATTTCAGGCACTTTTGCATTCTTCCCACATGTACCACGAGGCTAAACATTCATTTGCCAACCATGGGATTAAAGTTTCAAATGTGGAGATTGATTTGGCTGCTATGATGGGCCAAAAAGATAAAGCTGTTTCTAATCTTACCCGGGGTATCGAAGGCCTATTCAAAAAGAATAAGGTAACCTATGTCAAAGGATATGGAAAATTTGTTTCGCCGTCTGAAATCTCTGTAGACACCATTGAAGGTGAGAATACTGTGGTTAAGGGAAAGCATATCATTATTGCTACTGGTTCAGATGTCAAATCTCTACCTGGTGTTACTATTGATGAAAAGAAAATTGTTTCATCAACGGGGGCTCTCGCATTGTCTGAAATCCCTAAGAAGCTTGTAGTTATTGGGGCAGGTTACATTGGGCTAGAAATGGGTTCAGTGTGGGGCCGAATTGGGTCTGAAGTAACTGTTGTTGAGTTTGCATCAGAGATTGTTCCCACTATGGATGCAGAAATCCGGAAGCAGTTTCAGCGGTCTCTTGAAAAGCAAGGCATGAAATTCAAGCTGAAGACCAAGGTGGTTGGAGTTGATACTTCTGGGGATGGTGTGAAGCTAACTGTTGAACCATCAGCTGGTGGTGAACAGACCATAATTGAAGCAGATGTTGTCCTTGTTTCTGCTGGTAGAACTCCATTCACTTCTGGACTTAATTTGGACAAGATAGGAGTTGAAACTGACAAGTTAGGAAGAATTTTGGTAAATGAAAGATTTTCCACAAATGTCTCTGGTGTCTATGCAATTGGAGATGTGATTCCAGGTCCAATGTTGGCACACAAAGCTGAAGAAGATGGAGTGGCTTGTGTTGAGTACTTAGCTGGTAAGGTTGGCCATGTGGACTATGACAAAGTACCCGGTGTTGTCTATACAAACCCTGAGGTTGCATCTGTAGGGAAGACAGAGGAGCAGGTTAAGGAAACTGGAGTTGAATACCGTGTTGGAAAGTTCCCTTTCATGGCTAATAGCAGGGCAAAGGCAATTGATAACGCCGAAGGACTGGTCAAGATAATTGCTGAAAAGGAGACAGACAAAATATTGGGAGTGCATATCATGGCCCCCAATGCAGGAGAACTCATTCATGAAGCAGCCATAGCATTGCAGTATGATGCATCAAGTGAGGACATAGCACGAGTATGCCATGCACATCCAACAATGAGCGAAGCTGTTAAAGAAGCCGCAATGGCCACATATGACAAACCCATTCACATTTGAAGAGCTTGGTTGCTTCTTTCTTCTCTTGTTTTCATTTTTGTCCAAGGATTTACCTTGACTTGGAGAAGATACTGTGTGTTAAACTTAGATTCAGGTCTTCCATATACAAATTAGCTCTTTATTTCATCTATGCATATGCATAATAAGAGGAATGGCTGTGTTGTTTTTATCGTTGCTGAATAATATTTTTCTTTCCCTATCTGAGGAGCAATCTTGTAATCTTTGTAATTTTGACTGTTGGGTGAAAACAATTCAATCCCAAGCTTCTGACCAACATGTTGAGTGATCCCTATAATTTATTTTATCTACCCCTTCTTCACTTTGCATTAGTTGCTAACGAGTCTGGAGGAGTAAATTTAGTGTTTCACCTAAGAATCAGTTTCAGGGGAACACATTTCAATTTTGATGAAGAGTGTTCCTACCTCAAACACAAGGGGTCATGCTCATCGGATGAAAAAATTTCTCCATAACTTCTATTGAAAAGAAACTCCAATGGCTAAATCAGCAATGTGCAGTTGTACACTGCCAAGGAAATAGTAGCAAACATCAGTTTTTTATTGCCTATGCTTGAAACTGGAGGGATTAAGTATGTGTTTGGAACAGCGTTTCCATGTTGTTTCTCGCCTCCTGAGGCTGAAAAAACGTGAAAACATAGCTCCTTTTTTTGTTTCTAATCGTACAACCAAACACATACTAAGTGAGTTTATGGGCGTGGATCTTCTAACTTGGGCGTGGATCTTCTAACTTTATTGAGGGAATTGTGCCTGCATTTTTGTCTAAAGCTAGGAAAAGTCAGAGAATGGGAAGTTAGACAAACGGAACACTAGCTTAAAAGAATCTCAGTATCTGAAGTAAGGATTTGGTTATTTTTTTGTTGAACTTGCATTAAAACATTTATAATTAATTATATGCATCTATATCAATATATTTCTAATTAATTTATATGTATATTTTTATGTAAAAGCAAATGTTATCAGAAAAACATAAACTAATTTTCTTGAGTGATAAATTTTAATTATCAACAAATTATATGAAAAATGTTATCATTTTTTTTTTTAAATTTCTGTGATTTAGTTTCTATTTTGAAAGATGGAGGTAGTAATATTCACAATGTATTTCAGCTCTACATTTGATAAAAGTAAAACCATAATGTGGAGGTTCTTCTGGGAGAGTATTTTATGTAAAAAATTATTTCGAATTTGAGCTGCTATAGTTTTTCATCTACAAAAAATATTTATAACAGTGTTGCTCATGTCAATAACAAAATAAATTGGTTGATAACATTATAAACAAATTGAGATAGCACGCCGTGTATGAATGGTTCAATTGATTCATGGATCTTTCTTCTCTTTGACTCTCAAATTTTCTCTCTTTAGTCACTTTTCCTATCCATCACAACATCAATCATTTTCCAATCTATCACAACATCAATCTACATCTCTATACCAGTAAAGACCTTTGATTATTACGAGACAATGTATGTGAGAAAAAGTGAGATGTGTATGTGGTATGGATTTTGATTTAGGCAAAATTTT